GATGAGGGCCATTAAATCTGATTGAATTACTTTCAATTTCATACACACGCAGACACATTGATGGACACAGACAGACACATGCTTCTAGGCTGACCGATGACTCGAGCCAATCTTAGATCTCATCAAAATGGATGAGCCGATGAGTTGTCTTGACGTTGACATGGTTGTGAGAATTGTGTTGTTGAAGCCACTTCCGTTCAGAGGGAAAGTGTGCTTGGTGAAGAGATTCGAAGATGGTCCCGTCAGAAGACGACGACGGCTGTTGATTGGCTGTCCAGGAGCATTCTTGTTGACACTGTCCCCGAGACAATCTCCTTGGAGTCTGATCCCAAAAAATGATCAGAGCAGGACATTGCGCTTCAACCATATTCAAGCAAACGGATCAAGAAACCGCATCGGCTCATGCCCAAATGCTGTTTGACAAAGTATCAAATGATTTGGCTCGTTCATGTTGTGTTTGTATGTCTTTATGCGCCTGCATGTGTTGGTTTATGTACGAAAGCGACAATGATGGCTGAAATGAATAAGAAAAAAAAGTAATGTCTGTCCTTTTCATCAATTTTTGATGATCCCCAGCATCCCTTTTAGACAAATTTGCACATGTTTCAACCATGTCTCTGATTGCGCAACGTCAGACACACGTCCAGTTACGTGGACGAGCTCTTTATCGTCATGTGAAAGAGGAGTGAACTAACAAATGTCGAAAAGTGCGAAGAAAAGTTGCGTTTCGAGCAATCTCTTGTTCCATAATTGTCGTGTTTACTTCCATTTCGAGTGAAAGTCTCCTCCCACCTTTGCGCCAAGAGCCGCCAACCCGAGGCGACACATCGTGGCTGATGAACTGACAGAGTGAATATTTGGAAGAATGATTGCTTGATTGAATAATTGAATAATTGAATAATCTAATCGACTTTCTGCTCCCCCTTTCCGACCACCTCTTTGGCTCTCATGTTGCTATCTCCATTTGTGTCTGTGCATGCATATGTGTTTGTGTGTGTCCTGGATGCCATGTTTCGCGACTAACTGGGCCGTCTCACTCGTCACATGATTCCACCCTCCGTGCGACCTCGGACCATTATTTCGCGCTCCTTGAACCTCGACGGTTGAGCATAAAATCTCCACTTTCTGTGCTCGTGTGCCGACAGCAGATGTCTACACGACTTGGCATCAGAGCAGATCATTTCGCAACTTGTCTGTCCCACGCAAACGAACAGACACAGTCTTGTCAAAACAGCCCAAACTGGGCTCGATTCGCTTGTGGTAGCATGAGGTTGTCTTCTCTCGCCAAGCACACAGTCCTCAAGACTACTCATTCGGTTTATAGTAGTATCGACCAACAGTTGACAATTGTGATAAGAGTTCGCTTGCAAGTCGCGTCTGCATCGGGAATCCATGGCGAAATGGCGTTTGGGCACACAACGCCTCCCACCCGAGGCGACACATCGTGGCTGCTGAACTGACAGAGTGAATATTTGCAAGAGTGATTGCTTGATTGAATAATTGAATAATTGAATAATTGAATAATTGAATAATTGAATAATTGAA